GTCTTTACTAATTCAAGTATAAAACCACTGCCCATATTTCACGTTATTTTACTGTCTTTACTAACTCAAGTATAAAACCACTGCCCATATTTCACGTTACTTTACTGTCTTTACTAATTCAAGTATAAAACCACTGCCCATATTTCACGTTACTTTACTGTCTATAATAACTCAAGTATAAAACCACTGCCCATATTTCACGTTCTTTTACTGTCTATAAAAACTCGAGTATAAAACCACTGCCCATATTTCACGTTATTTTGCTGTCTATAATAACTCAAGTATAATACAACTGGTGGTTTTGCACTGCACAAACAACCGCTAGGGGTAACGCTGTCTGTCGTAATCTCAATTAAACTGCAAGTTCTCACGAGAAAAGAAACAACAAAGAAAAAAATTACTAAAAATGTTTCTCCAGTTTCTTCCTTTTGTGTATTTAATTTTTGATTACACTTTACTGTGGGAGAGTTGAATTCCTTTACTTCATGTTTTAGTAGTAAAAATCTTCACTAGATGGCATTACGTATAAATACGTGTTTATATTTACAATAATTCACGAAAAGCAGTTGAAGGAATATGTGTGATATTGTTGTCAACTGGTAACAAAGAAAAGACGGTAATATTAATAGAAAACCAGTTATCTCACAGAATCTGTACCCAACGAACTAGGTAGGAAAGGTAATTTAACCTCAAACACTTCTAACAACATATGAGTGAAAGTAAAGATGAATATTTCAGTTATACTACATCTGCCATACCCAATGCCGACGAGGCTTTTCGGTCAATGCCAGAGCTCATCAGATATAGCGGTCTAGAGGTTATTTATGTAACAAGATATACGACCATTTGTAAACAGTGTCACATTGTTATCAAGGAAATAAATTCAAGCAAAAAATGATTTTACGTTATTATTTGTCCAGAGTCATTCAAAACTAACGATTCAAGTAAATTCTGATGAATAATTTCAGAACTAAACAAGAACCTTCAGTTTCGTTCACTAGATGGCACTATGTATTTACATTTACTGATTGCTTTGAATTATTTCATTATTATGTTACAAAACTTAAGGCAATAGATTAAAACGTTAGCATACTTTCTCGTCTATGACTCAGTGGGTCAGCAGTACGTCTACAGATTTACAAGGCTAAAATCCGGGGTTCAGTTCCCTGCAATAAGACAGAGTGCAAGATAGTCCATAGTGTAGCTTTGCGCTCACCAATAACATGCAGATCTAAGCAAATTAACAACAGAAAAAAAATTAATAAATATAATCAATAATGAGAGTTTTAGTTGTGTTCTTTAACTCAGTTTTAGTTGTGTTCTTTAACTCAGCTTTAGTTGTGTTCTTTAACTCAGTTTTAGTTGTGTTCTTTAACTCAGTTTTAGTTGTGTTCTTTAACTCAGTTTTAGTTGTGTTCTTTAACTCAGTTTTACTCGTGTTTTTTAACTCAGTTTTAGTTGTGTTCTTTAACTGAATTTTAGTTGTGTTCTTTAACTCAGTTTTAGTTGTGTTCTTTAACTCAGTTTTAGTCGTGTTTTTTAACTCAGTTTTAGTTGTGTTCTTTAACTGAATTTTAGTTGTGTT